TTTTCTTCAAAAACAAGATTGGTTGGTAAAAGTCGACCTATCTCAGGCCTATTTTTATGTTCCCACTTCGGAATCGCATCGTTGTTATCTAAGATTGGTATACAAGGGAGAACTACTACAAATGACCTCATTGCCATTCGGCCTAGCCTCTGCACCAAGGACCTTTGCAGCACTAACGAATTGGATCGCGGAGATCCTTCGAGCTCGAGGATTTCGGGTTCTAGTTTATTTAGACGATTTCCTCCTGGTTCATCAGAACTAGACCAAGTTGAATTCACAGGCTTCGGAAGCCGTGAACATCTTAGAATCCTTGTGATGGCAGGTCAATTATCAGAAGTCAATTCTCAAGCCGATTCAACAAATCGAATATCTAGGCATATCTTGGAACACCAACAACAACACAAAGTTCCTATCAAGAGAAAAAAGAAAGAAGATCTTAGACTCGATAGCTCTCATTTTGTCCAAACAAAACTGCAATCTAAGACAGATTCAAAGATTACTGAGACAACTAAACTTTGCAAACTTCGTAATTCCCAGGGGTCGTTTGCATTGTCGACATCTTCAAATATTTTCTCATCGCTTCGATCATCGTCGACCAAAAGAGAAGCGGATGGTACCCTCCCGGGCGATATTAGACCTAAAGTGGTGGCGCGGTGCCATCAGGAGCGTATCAGTACTACATCCAAAACCGTATACCCACTTCCTGACAACAGACGCTGCGGATTCAGGTTGGGGGGCTCAACTGGACGAGATTCCGATGACGGGAACTTGGACAAGCAGTCAGATGAGATGGCATTCGAACAGGAAAGAGATGTTCGCAGTATATGCAGCCATACGGAGACAAGCAAGTCAGTTGAAGAACGCGCACATACTAGTCCAATCAGACAACCGGACTCAGGTAACCTACATCCGCAACGAGGGCGGAACGCGCTCACTGAATCTTCTGGATTTAACGTGCAAGTTGTTGACGCTGACAGACCGATTAAACATTTGTCTATCAGCGCATTATCTCCCGGGCAGGTACAACTGCATTGCCGATCACCTCTCAAGAGGCAAGCGTCTGCCAGAGTGGCACTTGCTGCCCGCAGCGACAGAACGGTTATTCGGCCAATGGGGCACTCCAGACGTCGACCTTTTCGCGTCGGCAGAAACAGCCGTAGTCAAGGATTATGTCTCATTAGACTCCAGAGATCGCTTAGCGATCTACTCAAACGCCTTCAGCCGCCAATGGAATTTTCAGCTGGGGTGGATATTCCCTCCTCCCAGCCTGTTGCCCAGGGTGTTGGCCCACTTAAACAGTGCCAGAGAGAGGTCGGTATGTGATAATAGCACCTCAATGGGAGAAGACCTTCTGGATGCCAGATCTAAGATCGCGTGCCCTAGAGGCACCAGTGACGATAGAGAATCTTCAAGAAGTTTTAGTGGACGTATCGTTCAACGCATCACCACCGCAAGTAGACCGGCTAATCCTTCAGGCTTGGTTGATTGGGGGTGGGGAGACCTCGTCAGCAGCTGGTCTCTCGTCGAAAGACAACTTTTAAACTCCAGCTGGAGACAGTCGACGCTGAATACGTACTATCCAGCAATTAAGAGGTGATTGAACTGGAGTGAACAAAAGAAGGTGAGTCCTCAGATACCGCAGGTTCATCAAGTGGCGAGATTCTTAGCTTATTTACATCTGGAAGAAAAGCTGGCGTACAGCACAATTTTAGTGCACAAGTCTGCTATATGTACCTTTTGTGGACCCTCATCGTCAGAAGTTTTATCAGAAAACTTGTTGGTGCGTCAGGTACTAAAGGCAATCGCCGCAGCACGTCCAAAGGACACACGACCGCCTGTGTGGGATGTACAGATAGTAGTTGATTGGCTAGCGATATCCAGAATGAAAAATACATTGTTCGAAATATCAAGGCGTACAGCGATGATTCTCCTCTTGGCGTCGGGCCGAAGAGTCCATGATTTGACGCTATTGAGAATTTTAGAAGATAGGATGTCGTCGTCAGAAGAGAGAATAATCTTATGGCCAGTTTTTGGATCTAAGACTGATTCCATAGCGCACAGGCAATCCGGATGGTCATTATCCAAACATTCCAATGAGAAGGTTTGTCCAATTGCATGGATCAGAAAACTAATACAAGTTTGCCAGAAAAGAAGAAAGCAAGGGAAAGACATCCCAATGAGAAGGTTTGTCCAGTTGCATGGATCAGAAAATTAATACAAGTTTCCCAGGAAAGAAGAAAGCAAGGGAAAGAGTTGCATCATCTCTTTATCACAGTAACGGGCGAGGCTCGTCCAGCTTCCAAGACTGTAATAGGCGGTTGGATAAGATCTCTGCTGAAAGATGCAGGAGTTGAGACCTCCCCATGCAGCGGTAGCTTCTGCTAGTTGGTTAGAGAATCATTCCATTCAGGACATACTGGCAAGAGGAAATTGGAGAAGTGAAAACACCTTTAAAAGATTCTACTGTAGAGAAGTACGAAAAAGCCAGAAGGAAAGAAGAACAGAATCATTGTTTTCCAATTTTCAGTCAGAGGTCGGGCGTTCCGGACTTACAAATGTTTAGAGAAAGTCTTTAGCCTTTTAACAAAACTTCTATCTTAAGTCGAATTTTGTGTTCAATATTAATGTTTAGTTTCTCAGGCTATGGTTTAATGCGATACTTTTATCTTTTTAAATCTTCACTAGAATTAGGTTTAATTGTATTTAATCGTTTAAATTTCGGAGAAGTGTCCTAACTAATAATTAATTGTTTCATACTGCATAGGGGTTTCTGTTTGTTTCTAAATCCAATACTTAAAAGTTTATTTTCACATAGCTTTTTGCGTTAGTCACCAGCAGATACCAAACACGTCTTCATAGCAACGCTGTATGTTTTTAGACAAGCACATAATATGATATTTTGAATTACAACAAAATAATTATTATGTGCTGAGAGAAAAACACACAGCGTTGCAGGAAGTGGCTTCCTGGTGAAGACGCTATGAAGTGTCAGTGCTTCACAGAGCGCCAACTCTGTAAGAGATTGAGAGACAGGTGGAGTGGCGCCGCTGGTAAGTAACGAAGGAACTACCAAGATTCGAGATAAGTATGTAAGTACACGAACCATTCTTCATAGCAACGCTGTGTGTTTTTAGACAAGCACATAATATGATATTTTGAATTACAACAAAATAATTATTATGTGCTGAGAGAAAAACACACAGCGTTGCAGGAAGTGGCTTCCTGGTGAAGACGCTATGAAGTGTCAGTGCTTCACAGAGCGCCAACTCTGCAAGAGATTGAGAGACAGGTGGAGTGGCGCCGCTGGTGAGTAACGAAGGAACTACCAAGATTCGAGATAAGTATATAAGTACACGAACCATTCTTCATAGCAACGCTGTGTGTTTTTAGACAAGCACATAATATGATATTTTGAATTACAACAAAATAATTATTATGTGCTGAGAGAAAAACACACAGCGTTGCAGGAAGTGGCTTCCTGGTGAAGACGCTATGAAGTGTCAGTGCTTCACAGAGCGCCAACTCTGCAAGAGATTGAGAGACAGGTGGAGTGGCGCCGCTGGTGAGTAACGAAGGAACTACCAAGATTCGAGATAAGTATATAAGTACACGAACCATTCTTCATAGCAACGCTGTGTGTTTTTCTCTCAGCACATAATAATTATTTTGTTGTAATTCAAAATATCATATTATTTCTTGATTATATCTGAATATTGTCTAAATTATAGCGCTTATTTGCAGGATCAATCTTTTCGAGAAGACTGGTATACTTTTAGCTGAAGAACTTTGCTAAACAGCGTAACATATTGGGTTATAGAGATTTGGCAGTAACAGACAGTAAGTACAATTAAGTAGCATATATAAAACATAGAGTAGCACATATAAAACCAAATATGTAAACTAAATTAAATATTACAATTCTGTTCTTTTTTTCGCACACAGATAGAGGAAGGTGAAAAATAACATTAATGCATAGAAGACCATCAGTTTCAACCTAAAAACTTCTGGAACGGTTGCTGGCGTTCGATATGGATCGTAAGTTTTACTCCAAATTCAGGAAACGCCGAATTGAGAGGTAGCCTCAAAGTACAAGTACATTACTACGAAGATGGAAATGTACAATTGGTCAGCGAGAAGCAAACAGCGAAAGATTTGATACATGCTGATTGTAAAATATAGGATGTAAGTCTACGTCTAGTGTGTATAATAATGTAAGTCTATCTTCGTAGTATGTATACCTATATAACAACGTAAGTCTACGTCTAGTATGTATAACAATTTAAGTCTATCTACGTCTAGTATGTATACCAACATAACAATATAAGTCTATCTACGTCTAGTATGTATATCTATATAACAATGTGTCTATCTACGTTTAGACCTTTAGTTTTTTTAAATAAAATAATTTTGAAAATAATATCAGTAAAATTATTTATTTATGAAGCAGAAAATTTACCATATCATAGATATAAAAGCAAATTAAACATAAAGCATATATAATATTGAACATAAAAAATATATTATCGATTAAAACAAATTTGAACCAAATACTGCATAAAGATTAAATGTAACATAACATAACATTTTTAATATGTGTCTATAATATATGTATAAATTTTAATAAATATTTATAAACGTTATTTAATATATCAATATAACATTAAAAAACAATATTAAATCATAATATCAGAAAAGACTGGATATCACATATAGCAAAAGTGAATTAAATAAAAAAATTAAAGAACAAATTAAACGTAAAGCATCGTGAACCAAATACTGCATAGAATTTTACTTAAATACAAAATTAAAAACAATATTTAACGTATTAACGTATCCAGACTTCTCTCTCTCCTATCCTATATCTTATGGAGAAATAATTGATGGCAATAAGGGGTTGCGCACAATAAGAGGAATAAGGAACAGGGAATAGAGAACAGATAGCAACCGTAGTGGAGCACTCTGCGCATTACGTGTACACACTTTTGTGCGCATCCTCTCCACTACGGTTGTTCTCTGTTCTCTATTCCCTGTTCCTTATTCCTTTTATTGTGCGTAGCCCCTAAGAGATTCTTTTGGTGCCATCCTTTTCCTCTTCCTCTTCCTCGTCCTCTTCCCCTGCCCCAATGATATCTATGTGACCCAGAACATAACTTCATCGAGAAATGCATGAAGCGTTCTTCCTGCCGTCGAGCCCCTGCAGCTCTGCCTCTTGCTCTTCGAACTGTAAAATACAAATAAAATTTATTAAAAACAGATTATCTAATTATATATTATTTTATAAAGTAGCATAAAGAAAAATATACACTACGTAAGTAGCAAAGTATCAAGCGATATGGTATAATTAAAATTCTGTAATTAAAATATTACCTTGTCCAATATCGTCCATGGGATCGGCCGCAACGGGGCCAGCGATAGGACCGGTGGCGATACGGCTGGCGCCGGGGCCGGTGGCGATACGGCCGGCGACAGGGCCGGTGGCGATACGGCCGGCGACGGGGCCGATGGCGATACGGCCGGCGACGGGGCCGGTAGTTATGTGACCGGCGACGGGGCCGGTGGTTATGTGATTGCGGCCGACGACGGGAACATCGGCGACGATGGAACTAGCGACGGGAGCGGCGGCAACGCTATCGGCGATGATGGGACTAGCGACGGGAGCGGCGGCGGCGACGGGATCATTGAGAGAAAATTCTTTCATGAAATCGGCATCATCATCTATCAACATCTATAAAATTTTTTAATTAAAATATATATCGAAAAATGGATATATCAAAGATAGTACTTACTTCTTCTTCTCTCATTTTCGATCTTTCCATTCTTTTTAATTGGGAGAAACGGCAAATGGATCCTGATCTTGCTATTTACTACAAATCTTTTTCTTCTTTTTTATGGTTCTGCTACAATTATCGATTAAATCATTATCGTTTCTCATTGGCTGTATTATTTTAAAAATGGCGGATTTTGCTATAATTATCGATTGAATCATTTTAAAGATAGCGTCCCATTAATTTTTCGTATTTTTCATTATGTTGCGTTACTATAGCAAAATTTATTCTTTGATTACGATTACGTGCTTTACGTAGGTTAGATTACTTGCAATCGTAACCTGTTACGTGCATCACGATTACTAATCGAAGACAATTCTAAGTAATAGGTAAAAAATAGTATTTATCATACGTCGCAACATTATTTCATTATAGCCACTATTGTTGCAGTTGCCATATAAATGGACAGACTGCCATTGGCTTTGGACAGTGGAAGATATTCAAATAATTTCAATTACATAAGAAGGTATTATTTAAAATATATTTATATGTGATATTATTGTTACGTACAGATTCGAGGAAGGATGAGTCAGTTGAAGGGCGCAACCACTATCTTTATGATCCCGAAGTTAAACGTCTCGAAGCGTTAGAATCGGTTCGAACGAACTTGACGGTCCGAAAATCAGGTAAACGACCGTTAGGGTCGCTATTACTCTGTTTTTCAGAAGTTCGCTCGGCGGTCCCCTTTTGGTAAAAGAATTTAATCTCTATTACGCGGAATGGGACCAGGTGCGATCTTTAGACTGGAGAATGAGAGGGGTTAATAAAGATTGGATTTAAATCAGAATATAAATTTATTCATAATGAATTAAACTACGTTGGTATACATTATATCAAAATGATGAGGACAATAGTTATTTTAATATGCGTATGTGTGTATGTGTGTGTGTTTGTTTGTTCGCTGTTCTTACAATCGTACGGAGGACATCAGTCAGAATAATGAGGCAAGATTTTATTATTAATATTGAATTTCTGATTGGTTATTACAAAATATCTGTTAGAAAAAGAAAATAAAACAATTTGTGTGAGTGAGAATGTGTAGAAATATTAGGAGGTTGATTTCATAATTCTAGGATTGGTATGAGGATTCGTCATCGAGATGTGGGAGTTCATTGCAGAACCCTTCCAGTGCTCTCTCGAATTCGTCGGATTCAAGAGCGGAAAAAGAAGGGAGTGGAGATTGATAGCAGGATTCGTCCTCCAAATCAGGGAGTTTGTTGCAGAAATCCTGCACTGCCTTCTCGAACTCGTCTAATTCTTAAGGAGGAGAAGGAGGGGGTGAATCATCAAGGATGATCGTTGACAACGAGGAGAACGATCGGAGGTTGCTGACTTTTAATTAGTAGGTTGAGTAGGTTGACAAAACTTGTCGTCCTTCGCTAAGATGTAACGCTGTGCGGGTGCCGGGTTGCTCTGGAGACGACGCCAAGACGAGGACACTGATGTTGAACTGATCACTCTTTTTCTAATTATGAATTTTTGCTCTTAATGCGCGCACACGAGACTAATTGCCCGGCACTGATTGAAGTTGACAGAAATGAATGAATGAATGAATTAAATCTCCTAGTCTTACGAGTTCTTTCTTTTATAAAACCTTTTTGAGGGCGTCTTCTAATTTTAAGAGTGGGATCCTTCAAAAACTTTAACGAATTAAAATTATGCAAAAATAGGGATTCTTCAAGATTTTAACAAATTAGAATCGTGCCAGTGTCTTCATTCGGCAGGGGGTGTCTCCTATTTTCGTATTTTTATCCGTGCTAATCGTCGATTGATGAGCTCGATATTAGTTCAAAAGTTCCTTAAACATTAGCCTTTCCGGGGGACCCTCGCGCACATGATCTGATTAGGAAATTATTTTTGTCGACGTTGATGCAGCTGTGTTTATTAAATATTTCGTCAAAGAAATTTGATCGTTATTGGTCCAGTTGTACTTGTCCGTTAGAAAATTATTATCAGTATTAATGCAGCTGCGTTTATTAAACATTTCGTTAAAAGTTCTTGTTATCTCCTTGTTCTTCCGCCGGAAATTCTACTGCAAGGGGTAGATATTATTTTTCATTTATCTCGAAGAGACCGGCATGGTTTCCATCACCGATTTCCTTGCGTCTTTCCCACGGATACTCGTGGATGTAGTTACTGACAAATGACAGTGTTTAAAAGAAACGTATGGCACAAGATGCTTTGTTTATTGAACGATTCATTCTTATCACCAACTGACGATCGTTACCGCAACGTCGCGGAAGGAAGGAATCGTGGAGTCGCCAGGACGTAATATTATCATGGACTGCAATTGTTAATAATAAATAAAAATTTTTATTTACAGGTTAATCGTGATTGACAATTTTGTCAATTGTTATATCGGCTGCTCTCTGGCGCTGGGTTTCGGCTGCCATAAGCGCTGTATTAAAAAATCGGCTGCTATAAGCGCTGTATTAAAAAATCAGTTGCTGTAAGCACTGGATAAAAAAATTAGCTGCATTAAGGCTAAATCTTGCCTTGTCTTAGCAGCTTGATATTATTGAGAATATTTGTTTGTATAATTAAGAATTATTTGTTGTAAGAGCATTAAATTTGAATGCTCAATTGTTTTAAATTATTAAATATTTATATAGCCTGTTGTAAAGTGTTAAACAATAATAAATTTTAAATAAATAATATTTAAAAAAGTTTTTCCTTGTACATTTTTTGCAGAAAAAATATAAATTTTTACAAAAAGCAATGAGATCACCTAAAAAAAACCTTAACAAAGGTAAAAAAGAAATACGCCAAGTATATAAAAAAATCCCAACATGTACGCAAAAAAAGTTTAATATCTATCCTTACAAAATAACTTTTAAAAAAGTTTTTCCTTGACAAATAATTTTCATACAAAATAAGAAATTAAAAATAGACTTTCCCCTAAAAAATAACTCTAAAAAATAAAAACCTTTAAAAAATCAAAAATCAAAACTAAATGAAATCAATAGTTAACTAGCCAAGTATTTAGAAGCAATTCAGTTGTAACGATGCATTCCCCTCGGTAATCCACCGTTACCCGGCCGCCGATCCGCCGGAAGTCCGCCGCCCGACGAACACCGGTCGGGCAGATGTGGAGGCGCTGAGCGCCCATTTTTAAACGTAACCGAAACGCGCGTTTATCAAACCGCTGTTTAGGCGCGCGTAAACATCCCGAATCGACGACGCGCTCGGGTAACCGACCCGACCGTTACCGAAAATACCCGAGCCGCGCACGCCGCTTCGAGATATTATTGT